GCTCCTAGTAGCTGCTGTCCCTTTGGACTGAGCCCAGGAAGAACACAAAGATCTAAACCTACCTGCAGCTGGCCTAGGTCAAGTTCAGCTAAGCCCAATCAGCAGAATCTCAGCCACCACAAAAACCAATGCTTGTTATTTTAAGCCAGTAAGTTTTAGAGTAGCTTATCATGGAGCATTATTATGGCAATTGTTGACAAATACAGCCGTAAGGGAGTAAAGCCAAGATTCAAAACTGAGGCCTGTCTGGCTCAAAAACCCACTATTATCCAACTATGTAAGAGAGTTTTCTCAACGGAATTAATATCCCCAACTCCAGCATGTGCTTGGTACACAGTACAGATGCAATAAAAGTCTGCTTTGTTAATAAATATAAATACTGAATGTGAATTTTTAAGAAATTCAGTTCATTTTCAATATGCTCCTCTTATTACCTTCCCATTACCACATCATAAAGCCACTGATTCAAAAACATTGTGAAGGACATTTTACCACACTACCTCATTTCTCAAACACTAAATCTAAAACTTAGTCCCAGAGCTATACACAACCAAGTCCAAAACAGTATCTCCAAATTAACACTTTTATAAAGTAAGTTGCTTATGTGCAAATGCAAAGGACAAGTTTAAATTAAAAGAGTGACACTTTCACAGAGATACGCACAACAACTACTTGCTGCACAGCTACCATCTACCAGGCACCATCCTAGGCAATGAGAATACAAAGAGAGACAAAATCCCCACCCTAATGGACCCTGCATTCTGGTTAACACTTGGACAGTGTTATGGCATTTTCCAAATGCTTTACGTGCATTAACTCACTTATAATTCCCCATATTCCTGTGAGAGACTTACTATCCCCTCGGAGAGGTGAGAAAATGGAGAACCATAAATGACAAGTAATTTGTCCGAAGTCTCAAAGTTAGGTTGGCAGAGCCAGCCAAGGGTCTCTGGGTTTGCGTCCATACTTTTAACTACTATTAATATAAGCAGGGGCGCCTGGGTGGCACAGTCAGTTGCGCATCCGACTCTTGGGTTTCGATCTCAGGGTCACGCGACTGAGCCAGGCATCGGCCTCCATGTTCAGTGTACGTCTGCTCGAGATTCTCTCTCCCTTTCCCCCTCCCACCCACACTTCCCACCAAGCTCGCATGCATGTTCTCACTCTCTCTCTCTCTAAAATAAATACAAAATAATAAAAGCAGTTTTGAGTCAAATAGGATGAATTCACTCACAAAATCAAACCTACATACAAACGGTGCGGGTGGAAAAGCAGCATACAAAATGGTCTCTAAAACATAGTAAGTGAAGAAAAGCAAGAAAAGGAAGAATGCATCTTTGTTTCACTGTGGCCAATAGCTAATTCCTAATTTTGAAATAAATTTCTCCCTTGTTTTACTTGAATACTATTTCATTTTTTCAAAAGGTGACATAAAGTTCCTAATATAGAGCACAAAACAGTTACTACTCATTTGGTATATATTAATAACCTCAAGAAAAATAATTCTTAAATCCTTATAACAAACATAATTAACTTTTTTCTTTTTTTTTCTTTTTGAGAGAGAGAGAGAGAGAGAGAGAGAGAGAGAACACGCACACATGAGGTGGGGGGAAGGAGGAAAGAGAGAGAAAGAGAATCTTAAGCAGACTCCATGCCCAGCACGGAGCCCGAGGTAGGGCTCGATCCTAGGACCGAGATCCTGACCTGAGCCGAAATCAAGAGTCAGATGCTTAACCCACTGAGCCACCCAAGCACCCCAATTAACTTAACTCTTATAACAGGATTCTTTTATTAAATATAACTTAAATTCCTGTAACAGAGTTAAAATTAAGGTATTAAAAAAACTACCTGGAGAACCACAATGGTTTTAAATCCGTATCAATCCTCTTATGAATTATAACTAAATTTCTCATTTAAAAAGCTTTGTTAAAATAGATATTGTTGGGTGCCAAAAGTCATCCACAACTCACCCACCCACATACCTAATTGATAGGCCCACACCTGGACATCTAACTTTAAACCCAACACCTCTACCTCAGAACTGCTGAATCCCCACCTGCCCAATGGGCTCCTGCCTCAGTCTTTCTAGCTCAGGAACTGGTGATTCTGCTACTCCAACTGATCAAAACCTTTGAGTTATTCCTGACTTTCCCTCACACTCCATACCCAATCTATCAGCAAACGCTACTGGCTCTAAGTTAACAATCTATGCAGGACCCAAGAACTTCTAAGTCATCTTGTTCAAGTTTCTCTCCTCTACCCCCTAAGTTAGTGTCCCTGTTGTCACCACTGCCCAAAGCAGCCAGAATGAATCTATTAAAAACCACTCCTTGGCTCAAAACATCTCAATGGCTTCCTACTTCACTCAGAATAGTATCTGACGTGGTGCTCAGTATCTAGTGGTGCTCACAGTCCCTACGTGATATGGTCCCTCTGCTAACTCTCTAATCTTGCATCTTACCACACTTCCCAAGCACACTCATGCCTTAGGCATTGCACATGCTGTTCACTCTGCCTGGAATGTTCTCCCCCCAGATAATTTTCATGCCTTCCTCCCCATCACTTCAGTCATGTCTCTGCATTCCCTCCATCTTTTAAGAGATACTTTTACTATTAATACACAGTCATCATTTACATGTTATAGCACACCTTATTTTTTCCATAGCACTGACTACACTTAAAAGTAAATACTCATTTGTTTATTGTCCATCTCTGACACTGCAACATCTGCTCCACGAGAGCAGAGGCATTGTTTAATTCACCACTCTACCTGCCTCCTGGAACAATGCTTGACAAAACAACCCCCTTAGCCCGCTCATTCTGACGATCAACAAATAAGAGCAGTGCTCCTCAAACTTTAACATGCATCAGAATCACCGACAGGGCTTGGATGGCAGATTGCTAGGCCTCAGCCCTAGTTTCTGATTCAGCTACTCTGGGGTAGGGCTTGAGCATTTACAAGTTCCCAGAAGGCATGGATACTATAGTCCTGTGACCACATTCTGAGATCTACTGACCTAGACAATGTTACACCGCAAAACAGTTGTCAGCAACAGGAGCTGACCATGGCAATGAATCCCAACTGGTGGAAGAAAGACAGGAACAGAATGCAAAGTTACCTCCTACTGGACCCACACTATGAAATATAACTCTTCTCACTTAGAGGATCATATCAAACATATTTTATAAATAATGCAATGTAAGTATCACCTTCCCTGAATAGGATTTTGTCCAGAAGAATGGGGACCAGGCAGATGAAGCTATGTTCTCTAACAAGGTCCTATGATCTTACATATTCTGTGTTCATGACTAGCGCTGAAACTTTATCCTTTAGAGTTTAAACGAGCATAGAAGGCTGATATCCTTTAGGAGATACTGAAACATCAAACAGCAGTAGACACCAACTGGGATAGCTGCCAAATCGTAATTTCCCATCTCTAAGGATCATTCCAATCATCGAGGGTGGGACCAGAGTAATCACCTCCAGGTTACATTAGTTAACCTCCCATCTTTAGTCATGGCAGACTGGTCCAAAACACATTTTCTCTCCTAAGAATCTGAAGTTCGAAGATAAAAAAGTCTGGGAGGCACTGAAACCAGACTATGTCAAAACCAAGGGTCTCAAAGATAAAGTCTGAATTCCTGTTGCTGAGGTTCTCAAAGCTGCCCTGGCCCTTCTCTTACAGGAGGCTTTGCAATCCACCATGTCCTTTAATCCTCTGATACCCAATTACTTTCCAACAAACTCTTTGCCTACATTATCCAGAACTGTTTACATACGTGCAACCAAAAAATACTTACAAAGTAAATGTATTAGCCTTAAAGAAAATTGTATTAGAAATGCAACTTGTGAAATGCCAAAGCTTTTTTCCATTAATCCAACTTAAAACATTTATTTTCCATCTTTAGACAAGTAGACTGTCCATATAATCAATGAATCTTAGAGTATACATCACATTTTGACCTTACAATACCAACTCCTTCTTACAGAATAGTTTTTGCTTTCAGAATAGTTCTCTGAAACCTACCAAAATACCAACAGTTTGCTTTTATGTATCCAAAAGGCACTGGAGCCAATTATGTACAAATATTATGCATATTGGAAGTACATGGTAAATAACCACAAAAAAGGTTCTTTTGTTAAGTACCTTATATTCTGATGGAAAGAAATAGAAAAATAAATTAAAACACACCAAACAGCAAGTGCTCCTCAGAAAAATAAAGAAAATTATGTGAAACAATGAGTAACTAGATTGCTTTAGATAAAATAGTGAGGGGAGGCTTCTCCCCAAAATCTTAACCACAAAAAGAAGCCAGCCAGTGTACAGCTAACATACTCTTAGGCTGGGAATAGACCTGACTTGTTCTAACAGCCAATGTGACTACAGGGTACTGAGAAGAGGGAAAATCACTTAAGATGAGGTCAGAGAGATAGAAAGAACCATATGACATAGTGCTTTATAACAAACACAAAGAGTCTAGAGCTAATTATAAATTAAGTGGTATAGGACAAGGAGGCTACTTGCAACAAGATGTTTATGGAGAACAGCTGGGCAAGAAACAAGAATGAAAAAGACAAAACAAAAGAAAAACATTATGAACAGTGGTTATCATAAAAATTTTGGAGCTGAAAGGAAGCTTAGCTGTCACCTAGTCCAACTTCTCATTTTACTGTAAGGATGACATGGCCCAGGCTGTGGCTTCCCTGAGGTCAGATTAAAGATGAGTAGAGAATTGTATCTGGTGCTCTCTGCGACATTCAGGCCAAAGCTAAAACCAAGTCTTTACCATGTGCATTTCCAAAAGTGACAAAGCAGCAATTAAATGAAAACATATCTAAAAAATTTTAATTGTCCACACCAAGTTAATCATACTTCTAGTCCCTCACATGACATTTTTTTTAAAACAGCTGACAATGCTTAAGTATTTATCACGAGACATCCCTTCCCAAAGTATGTGAAGCAGAAAAAAAATTGAGTAAGACAACAAAACATACTTACATCTGGATATTCTTTTACAGGCACATAGAGTTTCTCTTGTAACTGAACAATAGGTCCCACAGCATCAGGCAATTCTGCACTCCTTTTCTCTGTACTGCCATTTAATGTGTCATTGTACATGTCTTTCCGTACTCTGCTAATTTCTGTTAAAAGTAAAAATTTTAAATGTGTTAGACAAAAAAATATTCTTGCTAGTCGAGGGGAAAAAAAAAAACAGAAGGTAGGGGAGTGTTTCATCGATAAAGTGTTAAAACTCAAAGAGTAAAGCATTATTAACCTAGTCTACCATTCCCTAGATTAAGTCTATGTTGAACAGGACTATAGCCTTAATTATTTTCTAAAGAAATCAAATTTATATTAACCAATATATTTTATTTTTTTTTAAGATTTTTTTTTTTTTTTTTTTAGAGTGAGCGAGTGCACTGGAGGACCAGGGGAAGGGAGGGCGGGAAGAGGGGGAGAGAGTCCCAAGCAGCCTCCGTGCTGGGCATGGAGCCCAACTAGGGGTTCGATCTCAAAACCCTGAGATCATGACCTGACCTGAAACCAAGAGTTGGACGTTTAACTGATTCCATCACCCAGGCGCCCCTATATTTTATTTAAATTAACTGCAGAGCCCAAACTCTTACCCTCTATTTGATATATCTGTTATTTTACTTAATTTCTCCATGCTTAAATAAGGCCATTCATTCCAAACAAGAGCTTTAATCAAATAAGAATGCCTATCAGACAAAACTAATAACAGTGGCTCTCTCATACTTCAGAACTCATCTGTCTGAATGAGATTTTGAACTGGATTACTTCCTGAGCTATTTTAGGTGTCTCTGAAATATCCAAACAGATGTCCAATGGATAACACAGATTTTAAGTTCAGCAGAAGTCTGAGTTTGATACACAAGTATGTTAGTCAAAGCTACAGGAACAGAAAAGATGTCTCAGAGAAGACAGAGGGAGAAAGGAGGACTGAATGAATCCTAGAAAAAGCAACATTTAAGGAATAAAGCAAAGAAGATCCAAAGCACGAAGAAATGAAGGTGGATAGCAGAAGTAGGAAAGAGAGGTGTCACAGACGCTGAAGAATGACAGAACCAAGAACAGGGTGATCCACAGTGTCAAACACCACAAAAGTATGGTGAGGTAAAGCAAGAGGGTACCTTGGATTTAACCACTAAGCCACTGGTGATCAGAGAAGTTTCAAGGAAAAGATGGTTTACAGAGATCAAACTACATCAGGTTAACGAAGGAAATATAGGAAGAAAAGTAGGGACCTAAAGTTAATGACCTTTAAAAAATTATTAGGACAGTTCCCAGGTATATAAATATACTTCTTCTAAGAAAAAATATATAAGAAATCCAATGAATCAAGACTTGCACAAAGGGGGAATCAATTCTTTCAAGAATTCTTATTAAAGTTTCCACAATGTGTTAGAGGATAGACCCCTGCCCACTAGAACATACTGTCCAATAAGGGTTGTCATTACTAAATCAGCTGGATGCCTCTGTACCTGTCTCTCCACACTACAGATTACATCCTTCTTGGGGAAGAGGCTGTGTCCATTAGTATTTAAAAGGAAAATGCCTTTTATTTTTATAATGTATTTTGACTGCCTTCCAAACATGGAATTTCAATCTACTGCTATAAGGAACTATGAAATATAAATGCACACTTCAATTTTCTTAACTAGTTATTTATATCACTTTGCTAAATAAAACCCAACACAGCAAAAAGCCATGAGCAAAGGTGTTCTTACCCAGTTAGTCTTAAATCAGTGAAAATACTGTATTATAATACATTTTCTGCTTCAACGATGGCAACATTCATTTTATAACACATCTTCTCTCTTAAATAACAATTTCCTTGTCAAAGCTTACCAAATGTGCATCTCTGAACAGCAAATGAAATTTTTTAAAAAAAATCAGAAGAAGGTACCTTCGATTTAACTACATTATAAAGGCAAGACTTCATTCCTTAAGTTCTTTTTAATACTACTTTAATACTACTTAAATCTTTAATACTACTTCTTTTAATACTACTTTTTAATACTACTTTAATAATACTTATTAAATACTAATAGTAGTATTAAAACATGCCCAGTATCAAACTAGTGTTTATTTTGTATTAGCATGCGACAGCAATTCTCCAAGTTTTCAACCACCAAATAATAATTTAAACATAAATAACTGCTTACATAATTACATAATTACAGCAAGTAATTAACCAAAGGACATTAGGGAAATTTAATTAAAATTATGCATATATCCTTTAGTCCAAGTCTCTATATAAAAGCAATTTCAATATTAATTTATTAAATTTCCTCTTCAGAAACTGCCTAATTCTTGTTAATAATGCTGATATAAAAATCCTGATAATAGCATAAAGGAAAACAATAGATAAAATTTGCTTATAAATATAAATGCAAACATACTAAATAAATAGGCTCCACCAGCATACCAAATGAATAATGCACTAAGGCAGTGGAATTTATACCATGAATGCAAGAGTTCAGTATTATAAAATCTATAACCAGAGTAATACAAAATAAAAAGGAAAACAACATATTTCCAGGTAAACAAGTTTATCAAACTTAGAAAAACCAAGAGCACTGTAAGAAAATTCAGATGACTAAATTAAAAAATACATAAATATTACAATAATCAATGACCTTCACATATCCACTTAGATGATAAAATAGAAGAAAAGATAAATTTACCATTTAAATGTATTTGTATTTCTATAAATATTAATGTGATTCTCTGATTAATAACTGAAAGTTCTGTGAGATTCTGCTAACCACTATAGCCCCAGCTCCTAGAATAGTGCCTTGAATACAGTGGGCCCTCTGTTAATACTCAGTGGACTGGGCAGATGGGTGGGTAAATGAGCTAGGTTCTAAGGCATTAAAGTTAAACAAGTCATGGTTTCGAGCTTTCAAAGTTAGTCTCATATGGGATATATATAAACAAGATACTCTAAAGTAGAAAAAACAGTAAGAGGCATAGATTAGAGATGGTGGTAGCACAAAAGCAGGACCATCAAATCTGCCACAGGTTGTTATGGTCAAGAAAGAAGTCAAGAGGAAAGAAACTCTTGACTTTTCTTTTCTAATGACAGTATGTGAGGCAAAGGTACAAACAATGTAATTATAAATTATACTTTTCTTAAGATAAAAAGTCTTTCTACCATGTTTCTTTTAGTCTCAGATACATCACTCAATAATACAAATCATAAGCAACACTGTACTGATAGGAATGAAAAGATGACCAAGTCCTAGTGCTCAAAGATCTTATAATCTTCCTCATTGTGGGGGTCTAACCAGCTCAGTACTACCTGTATTAACAGCACCTTTCTAACCAGGAAATCACACTAGCACTTTTTGCTATGTTATTTACAATACTCAAGTCAAAACAAGTTCTGGGGCACCTGGCTGGCTCAGCTGATAGAACGTGCAACTCGATCTCGGGGTTTTAAGTTCAAGCCCCACGTTGGGTATAGAGACTATATATAAAATAAATCTTAAAAAAAAAGTTCTGATTCCAGTTCTAACAGTAACTGTGTGATTTTAGATAAGTCTCTTACTTAACCTCTCTGCAACTTTACCTCATAGAATTAGAGGTTCGCTTACTGAATGACCCAACTAAATCCATTGCTTTCCAACCTTAGTATGCAAGGACCCCATTTATTATTTTGTCCCCTAACCCCACATTTTAAAAAGTTTTGTCTCCAAAGCTTGTAGTATATAAGTCCTGGCAATCAGAGGTTTTTGTTAATGTTATACCATCAAGCTGATCTAATCATGGCCAAAATATTACAGAAACATGTCATGGATATGGGTAGTGCTCTATTTCCTTTTTAAGTGGTGGATTTACAGGTGTTCATTTATGAAACATAGAAGTGCTTCATAATTAATATATTTTATACAGCTGACCCTTGAACAACAGAGTTTGTATTTCAAGGGTCCACAACATACTACTATATAGTACATAGTTATAATGTACTACATACATTTATTTGTATGTATGTAAGATTTTGTAGTATGTAAGTCCTGGATTTTTTTTTTTTTGGTTAAATACGGTATTTTGTTGTTGTTGTTGTTGTTGTTAAATACAGTACGGTATTGTCAACATATTTTCTCTTCCTTAAGATTTTCTTATTAAAATTTTCTCTCTAGGGCGCCTGGGTGGCTCAGTTGGTTAAGCAACTGCCTTCGGCTCAGGTCATGATCCTGAGTCCCAGGATCGAGTCCCGCATCGGGCTCCCTGCTCGGCGAGGAACCTACTTCTCCCTCTGGCCCTCCCCCCTCTCATGTGCTCTCTCTGTCTCTGTCTCTCTCTCATTCTCACTCTCTCAAAATAAATAAATAAATCTTTAAAAAAAAAAGTCATCTTTAAAAACAAAATAAAATAAAATTTTCTCTCTAGCTAACTTTTATTGTAAGAATACAATATGTAATACATATGGCATACAAAATGTGTTAATCGACTGTTTATATTATTGGTAAGGCTTCCAGTCCACAGTAGACTATTAGTAGTTAAGGTTTTGGAGAATCAAAAGTTATACGTGGATTTTTGACCATGAGGGGAATCAGTGCCCCCGACTCCCTGCGTTGTTCAAGAGTCAACTGTATAAACTTTCGTTGCATCAAGCACTGCATGATAATGCTCAAATGTCTCATCCCCACACTACCTTCACCAATCTACAACAGTGGTTCAGAGGACTAAAAGTTCAGAACCATTTGTTTAATCACCTAGTATAAAAATTCCCACTACAATAACCCCAAAATCCCCACTGTCAGGACAACTTGTTTTAGACATCTCTGAAGTTATTAAAGTTTACAAATTTTACTGAATCAAAATCATTCCTAAAATTTCTCCCACTTCCCCCCACTCAACACTCCAAAGGTCAGAAAACAGATCCAATGCCTCGTTCCTATGACAAAAATACTTATAACAGTTTTAGATCTAAGCATCCTCTTCTCCGAGCTATATAACAACATGGTTTTATACCCTCTCACTTAGACACACCCCATTTATCTATGCCCTTTAAAATGGAAAGTCCTGTACCACACACATCCTTCCCTGACAAATGAGGAGAATGCAGACAGGCTGCTTACCTCCAGTCACAAACACTCCAAGTCCACAGTGTGTTTAAG